GAGAGAGAGAGAGAGAGAGAGAGAGAGAGCGAGCGAGAGAGAGACACGGGGCAAACACTTGCGAGGGCGACGTTTTCGTTCGCGCACTTCATCACAACCGCAGCAGTGCAAATGCCTCATGCGCTGCTACAGCAGTAGTCCAGACGCATCTTTCGGTGGCGATATTCAAAGAGTTGGTGATCCCTACCGTCACCGAGAAGAGACAACGTCTGCGAGAGACGTCATCCGCCTTAAGTCAGCGTCCGCGTGCTGTGGACGAAAAAAACAGATATCTCGTCATTCATACTATCTGCGTCCGTTGCAAGACAAGTTTTGTTGTACCAGGAAGGACCACAAATCATGCCGTGCCTTTCGTACGCGGGGATCAGCCCGATTAGGTTAGTGTTTTTCACGTCTCTCTCTCTCTCTCTCTCTCTCTCTCTCTCTCTCTCTCTCTCTCTCTNTCTCTCTCTCTCTCTCTCTCTCTCTCTCTCTCTCTCTCTCTCTCTCTCTCTCTCTCTCTTTCCCAGGTACTTCAACAACTTCCCGGAACCGAGCGTGCTGTCGCCGGACGTCCTCCTCCCCGCGGCCGCCGCCGTGGAGGTGGAGGATGGGGAGCTCATGTATTTAGAGCTGCAGGTGCGTAGGTCTCCTTTGTTATACTGGTTGTTACGTGTCGGGGCTTGGGTTGGATGTCGATCTCTTGTCCGAGGCTGGAAGTTGGTTGCCCTGGGGCGTGAATTTGTAATGGATTGGTTAACACACTGCGCGGAAGATGAGTATCACATGGATGTCCTGCGTGCGTTCAACGGGAAAATTAAGCAACGATCAAGCATCGAAAGAGGGTCTGTCTGCAGCCTGAGCTCCCTCGTACTTTGAACGTATAAGAACCAAACGTAAAGCTGATGATGCGGCCAGAGAAGATCATTGCTTTGCAATGTCGCTACCGCTGCTGCGGCTGCTGGCGTGCTGCTGCTCCTGCTGTTATCTCTCTAGGTGTAAGGATCTATTCCTCTCTCTCTCTTAATGCGTGTTGTTCAGCAGCGTCGACCGCTGCAAGAAAATCGTTGAAGTTGTTCTAGCACCGACCCCTCACCTCCAGCGGCGACATCTCGTTTTCCAATCCGGGTCTAGTTTCGATTCGTTTTGGCCAATTCTTGCCCCGTTGCAATTGCCGAGGCCCTGCCATAGGCCTGCCGTGTCTGCAGTAGCACAAGGTAGCGCCAATCCTGGCGAGGCTGTGAGCAAAATCTGAGGACCGAGTTGTTGTGACAAAAAAAAGCTATTGTTTGTTGCTGCTTGTTTCGAGCGACATCTGCCGGCTGTGGGCGGCATAGTAATCGTTTTAACCTCCATGCCCTTCCTGATGTGGTTCGGTGAACCTAGGACCTATCTGGGCAAACAGTTCTCATCCCTGAAAACTACGTGTGGTAACGTGTTTTTTGTCGCCCCTCTTGCCCATTGCTCGTACATCTTTTGTTTATTCTTTTATGATCCGCCCCGTATCGGTTGGACCTATTCGCGCAGACAATTCTGATCGTCATACCTGAGAACTCTTGCGTGTGGTAACGTGCCTATTCACTCCGCTGTTCTTTTTCCGCACACTTGCTTGTTTCAATACAGGTGCGGCAAAGGGAAAAGCTGGAGGTACCGTCGGTTACCCAGCTCATGCTGCGCCCGGTGCTGTGATCCATTGTTGCCCCGGTCCGTGGACGCCCGCCCGTTTCTTCCCAACAGCTCCACCTTGGTTGATCATTCTGCGTTATACCTACTGGTTGCTTTGCAGCGCCGCGGGACAAGGCTGAGACGTGAAGGGGATCATTTTGCGGGGTTTTCGTTCACATAAGATGAACACCCCTCGGCTCTCTCTTTGTAGGGTTGAAAAATCCACGTGCGGTGCGTTGCCCACTTGCCTCTTTTTTTTTAGCTTAGGTCTTGAGCAGCGCGCACCCTTCCGTCGTCGCAGCAGCGTTTTTGGGTGTTGCGTTGTTTTCGTGGGAGGCGTGTTTTTGCGGGGTGTGGGGTTCGGTTCGGTTTCTGTGTCGTGTTCGGGGAGTGAGTGTGAGTCCCATGCTTGGAGACGAAACGGATGAGGGACCGCGATCATCGAGTTTTTCGGGATTTTGTGGAGGTCGGTGCATGTGGCACTAATATCGTGTGTTTCTTTGCGCGTGTCTGTCGGTCGAATTGCCGCTGCTCTTGTCTGTGGTTCCCGCTCAGAGCGCGTGGGAGGCTCACCCAAGGGGTTTTACCAGGCGGTTGGGGGAGTCGAAAGCTGTTTTTGATGTTGGCAAGGGTTCGAAAAGGTAGAATTTTGAGCATGTTTTGGACGCAATTTTTGCTGCCATATGTGTTCCGCACCAGATGACGTGTAGTTTCTACACGATGTCGTCACTATCCGTGCGTTTTGACAGGTGTTTCTGTGAATGATTGCTGATTGTTTTTTGTGTCATTGTGCATGGTGTGCTTCCCATTCTCCTTTGTAGGCGGTTGGGGGGTGGGGGGGTGAGAGAAGGAGACAAGACGACAACAAACGACCGTACTGTGAAAAGGGAAACAATGAGGCGGTCGGTGGCATATATCCCTGGTTCATTTTCAGAAGAGTGTAGTTTTTTTTTTTTTTGTTTCGTGAACATATCTTTAGAGCTTTGTTTGGGTGATAGAAAATGGCACATAGACGGCACGGCGACGGCGCTGAAGTCGGCGCGCGTGTTTTTGCCAAACGGCGTGCTGCTGCCTGGCTGTTCGACAGCACTGAGGAAATTGTAATTGTTAGCAAGCCCTGAAGGAAGTGCGTAAGTCCATGTGCGCGGCTTGGCTTACTCGATGTGAGATGCCGCTGCACTGACTGTGTAAGTACATAGGGCATGCTTGGGGAATGAGTGTGGGCGATTGTTTGTGGGGTTACGTCTGATTTCTGCTGTTGTTTGATTCGAGGCCATAGTTAGAAAGAGTATGTTGATTTTTTTTTCACGTCTTGTTCCGTCAACGCTGCCTGTTATTTGTTGTAAGATTCGTTTGGTGTGCTACAGCAAGCAGCTAATGCGATGGGAGTTTGTCATGGGCACACAGAAAGCGCGGTGGCTTCGAACGGGCTCACGTCGATGTCTGGATAGCATACATACACAAGTCTCGTGCTGTACGTTGTTTGGTCGTGGTGCCTGAAATCACGTTCCATCTTTTGGGATTGAATACTGATAGCGTGCACGTCTGATCGACAATCTGTGTACGCCGACGCTTCTGTGTGTCGCAGATGTTTCAGACGTTCGGGTCCTTTTGGGAAATATGGAAGCTTTCAAGGAGAGCCCGTCGAAGCGACTGTGTGGCATCGCATGATGAAGGTTGTGGTAAAAGTTCAGCACATTTCAGAGATCGCGTCTGCCGGTTGGCAGGTGAACATCAGCCAAGCTTTTGTGAATGACTTTCAACCGCCGTCGAAGGCGTTGTACCCGGCAGACCACCGACAGTGCGCAAGTCCCAGTAGGACGAAATAGACCCAGACCTCTGCTGCCCGTGAGTTTCCATGGCAGAGGGGAGTTTCGTAACCCGTTGTGTGAGCGAGAGTCTGTTCACCAACAAAGATAAATTCATGTTTTCATCTGATGCGTTCCGTTCATCAGTGATTTTGAAATCGACAGATTAACAGTACGCGGCCGTGGACTATTGTTTTTGAAACTATCGGTGGCCATGGTACCCGCAACACAGTGGGTGACGCGACAAAAGCAAAGTTATGTACAGCTCAAGCAATCAGTTATACCCTCCACAGTTCATTCTCTCAGCCGAGAGTAGTGAAGGCATAAAAGCCAAACTAAATGCGGTGGTCCCGTGTCGGGGAACGACAACTTGTTGGTCGTACTCCACTGGGCGTTTTACGTCATATCAGTGTTACTTCACACAGAGTGAACGAAAATCGTCCTGCGTTGAGGACCCTAAGTGGTGCTTGCAACGTATTCTGTATCACATGTTGCTAGGGGGGGCACTTAACAGCCACGTGGCCTCTGTTGCAATCAAGTTAGCCTATCTACGGTAGAATGACTTCCTGTTGACCCCTCCAAGACTCTCAACAGGTGCGCGCAAGAATTCTCCGCGTTGATGATTGATTTCACACTTTCAAACACAATATTTTGAACCATGACATTGCTGTGTGCGTCAAAGAGAAACAGTACCTATCAGCTAAGTCGAACAAGTTCAACTCGTCGCTTTCTTCGCGTTGTTCCCGACTCATGCGTCCGCCCTAATACACACATAGACGAATACAGTCCTCGGCGAAAACCCTGGGCCTGCAACCAGCTTGAGTGTGGGCCATGCCTCGGCCATTGCTTTCTGCGCTTTCCTCGTTTAGTTGACACGCAAGACCAATTATTTACTGCCTACAAAATACAGTTGGAAGGGGGACCGATATGGAACTCTCAAACAACAGGTCGAGAACCGCCAAGCTCGCTAAACTTGACCCTCTACTCCACAGCAGTTTATTTTCCCTCTAATAGGGACAGCGCCTCGTCCACGAAGTCGCCTCCGTTCTTCTTGAACTCAATGCCGGCCTTGACGGCCTCGTCGAACGCCTTCACCACGTTCGTCCCGTCGGCCGCGGAGACGAAGAAAAAAGGGAGATCGTGCTGCTGGGCGAACTTGAAGCTCTTCTTCGTCACCTGTGGTTAGGGTACGTTTACGTTGGCGGCGTGGGTCGGGCAGCGGCGTTATGTTCACGTTAATGCCAGCCTTAATGAATGGCGCAGGATAAACATTGTTGGGAGCAGGTGGCCGTGACGACGATGTTTTGAAGACTACCACCGGGATTTTCGTCGAATACTTCGAAGTATTGTAGTACTATGGTGATATACGCACTCGTCACGTAGGTACGCATTTACGCTCTTCCGTTGAGATCCTCGGTTTCCGCCAAACCACCTCCTAATATTGAGGCGCTAATTCTGTTGGCACGGCGTACAATGATCATGTGTCGGGAATTTGTTGTAATTACGAAGGAGCATTAGCGACACGGTTCGAGCCGATACACTCCTGTTATTTTTGTTTTGTTTTATTTTGATCGGTGTCCGAGGGCTCTTTTCTCGAACGGTCGGTGCGATACCTGTTCTTTTCTTTCTATCATTTTGTTTTCTTTTTCCGAGTGGTTTGCACCCTTTTTTTTTTTTTTGTTTTCTCGCAGCGTCGTATGTGCCGGGTTTTGAGACCACGGGCTCCCCATTTTTGTGGACTTTAGAGCTAATGTGAGAAACAACAAACAACAACAACAAACTCCTCCTCCGTTGGCCCCACCTGGTAGTCAACATCTATCTTGTTGGCGATGAGCAGGCAAGGGATGCTCTCCGAGTACTGCCGCAGTTCCCCGTACCAGTCCGAAAGGTTCTTGTACGTTGCCTTTCGAGTAACGTCGAAAACCATGATGCAAGCGTGCGCCCGGTAGTAGTAAGAAGGGTGCATGCTGCTAAACCGTTCCTGTCCCGCGGTGTCCCAGAAATCTGCGCTCGCCCACCGTAAGCCGCGCAAAAAGAAACAGGCCAGCAAAAAGCAGACTCGGTGCGATTAGACCTGCGTGTTTTGCGGTTGCTTCTTGCAGCCCTTCGTAGACTACCCGAGGACGAACTCAGGGCGTGGCTCAGCTTTTTGCACGTTTGACAGACGCACACGGTTTTCCTGGTTATCCCGCTGTCAAGGGTACACAGAAAACGTATCCGTGGGGAGGGGGCGTTGTATCCGAGAGACGTGTGGTGGAGCATTTTTTTGCCTCCTCTGATCACCACCGCCGTCTACCACTACACTAAAAAAATATCATCACGGAAGAGAGCACTCCTGCAAAAAGGTAGTCTACACTGCTCCTGTAGTGTACAGTCGACCAACAAACTCTTTGTCCTCTTCACCAACTTTGACCTCGACGCCGTCATCCAGCTTAGCATTCTTCCGGAATAACGTCAGCGCGAATGTAGACAGCTGCCGGGGGTTGTATTCGTCCATTAGATACCGCTCCACCAGCTTTGACTTCCCCACGGCAGAGTCTCCCAGGAGGATAACCTTGTGACATCACACGGCACACAGAAACTTGTGACATCATTGTTTGCCTACAATTGCAGTCTGGAAGTGCCAGGGCGTCCTGCAGAAGTGCTGCTACATTATAACATGTAGCATCATCGGCCTTACAGGGAGCAGTAGATTCAGGGGTAGATACCCGACCTGGGAGAACCTTATGCCAAGCGCTCGTCATACGTTTTGCAGTGAACGGACCAACCAGGCGGCAGTACCACAACGACCGCTTACGGTTGTACCATCAACGGCCAGCGGCCATGACATCGATAGCAACAGCCGAGAGAAGCCCCTCCCTTCACACCTTCAGATCCGGGTCCTCTAGGTCCTCATCACCATCCTCCATGTGGTCCTTACCCTCCGTTTTTCGTTCAGACATTGCTTTGGATCCACCCCCGCACGCCCTTTTTCACCCAAGATACCGTTCGGTTTGGGTGCCCCGCTCGACAGGTTTGTCCGCTGGGTTGTCGCCTCCGGTAGCAAGAGGGATCGTGCACTACACGTAAAGGTTTTCTTGCAAAAGTGATGTCGACAAGCTTGCGGGGTAGGTGGCTCGAGGTTGCACGAGATCACGATGGGTGTACTTCTTACAGCAGCAGCAGGTAGACGAGATGGGCCAGACGAGATCACGAGATCAAGCCGCAAATCGGGGGGTCTCGTGGATGAAACCACCCCCCTCGCGCCTCGGGGTTGCTGGCCTGTGGCTGTGTCTGCAGCACCAACTGCAACACTGCTGTGCACCCAAACGATGCGAAGTGCGCCAGCAACAAGGAGGAAGGATCTGAATGTTTGTCGTGCTCACGAGTGCCCGTTCTTCCCTCGTGCCTCGTGTGTTTTGATGTCAGTGCGAAACGTTCGTATGTGTGTTTGAGTAGATAAGGAGGCAGCTCGACAGGAGAGAGAAGAGAAAGAGTTCAGAACGTGGCCGCCCGATCCCCCCGCGTGTAGGGTATGCACCGAACCGGCACAGAAAGTGGGCAGTGAACCATTCGCGAAACGAAACAAATTCTGCTCCTGCGCTCAAGTATCACCTACGCGCCGCTTTGTCCTCAGCAACGACGAGCTGCACTAAGGGCATGACGGCGTCGCAGGCTCTTGGTGCCGCCAGAAGTCCACTAAACAAACTGTCCTACCCGTCCTTGATGCAGCATAATGCCTTGGAGGTTGACGATGGCGATGAGCCGATCATGATGAAGGTGACGTATACTCTGGCCGCACCAAAAAGCCAGGATCAGTGTACATGCTACAGACTGCACTGCCTACGACTAGACTAGTGGAGCACGGACGCACGGTGAATATACAATGTAGTCTAAACGCATGTGGCATGTGGAAGAGGCCACCCACTGGCCCTTTGTGATGGGAGTGTGGTCAATGTCCCAGAGTTGAAAGTTGAAAGGAACACCGGTGTTGAAGACAATAGTCAGTAGACTACAGCAGTACATTTGAATAGTCCAGTTGTCCATTGAAAGTGCTTGCTGCAGTCGGAACCATCTGTGGATGATGTGAACGATGTGTGCGAGTCACTGATGCCGTCTATGCACAAAATTATCGTGTCATGTTTTACGCGGGAACGTCAGGGCGAACGTGCGTCAGGCGAAATTCCAGCCAGCGGTCAATGGGAGAGAAACACGGATGGATCACAAAGAAAGCAGAGTGCTGAACCCAGTGCCCGTTTTCCTACTGTTCACAGAGTTCTTTCAAGGCAAAAGAAGGACGTTCGTCTTTCTCTTCTTCGATCTGACCACCACAAGCAACCACAAGAAGTGGGTGCACTCAACTGAATCGACAATGTGCATCCTACAAAGTGATTGCCACGGCTTTGCCTCTGTTTCTACATAGCACCCCCTTCTTCGAAAGTCTCACTTCTGTCTGCCTGCCTGCCTGCCTATCTGTCTCGCCCTCTCTCTGTTCCTCCGTTCCGAAAAAGGGTCATGATGGCGTGGTACGACCCCTCAAGGATAAGCTTCGTACGCTTTGCAAACAGAGGCGGATTCGGCTGCAAGAGTTTTTCAAGCCATATGACGTACATCACAACAAAAAGGTAGTAGTCTACGCGGCGAGTTTGAAACCGACCACAAAATTAAATGCGTGTATGGCCGTTGACAATCTTGTCATTCGTTGCATCGTTTCTTCCGATGTGCATGACCCATAGCGCCAACTGGAAGTCTCTCTTACACTCCAACAACAGAGACGGCGCGAGCTCCTTTCTGCTAATGTAGGTCATACGTTGTGCGGAGTGTACTTCCTAAGCGAGCCCTCCGATCGGTACTGCCGTTCGGTCGGTGGATACCTGACACACGGCGCCAACCCACTTGTTCTACAATAGACGGAAGAACACGCTGATTCCACTTCTTAGAACCCCCAGCCGACCATCGTTTGGCGGCAGGGGCGATGTTAACGCTTCTTTCTTCAACGAAAACATGTTTTGATTTATGCAATTGCTCTTGTGGTTGAACAGGTGTCCAAAGGGCAGTTCCGACGCGCCCTCGACCAAGCCGGCCTAACGGCGCCGGCAAAGGGGGCTCCTCCCTCGGACCTCCTGACCGTACAGGAGGTTGAGGCGCTAGTCAAGCGCTACGAGGTTGAGGGTGACGCGAGGGCTGGCTCTGTCGGTGAAGGGGTGGTGAACTATTGGAAGCTGTGCCAGCAGGTCGAGAAGGTGCGCCTAACTGGTGGACAAAGATGTGTATCTATTATGTCTGCACCACGTTTAGCAACTGACATCAAATCACTAGACCAGTCAGCGCTGACTGGTCAAATGTATAGTGGCTTGATATCGGATGCTTAACACCATTACTGTCTACTGCTGACTGATGTGATCGCCGGAAGAGGACTCACTCCTGTTTGGTTCGCCGATAAAAGTACAAGCAGCCACACAAACGAGGAGCCGCTTGTCTAGGCCCAAATCCAAATACAGATGGAGAAACTCAATCGTCCGGCACAAAACGCATCCGCTTTCGTGACGGGTAAACATCTATGCGATCAGGTAGGAGGATAACATGCCCGCTGTGGGCAATACGCAACCCCCGTGATACCTCGGTCATGACCACGCATCGCAACGCGCCATAGCCCCTGCACGCACACAACGAAAGGTTTTGTGATGCGTCATGACAATATCTCAAGGTTTCAATGGATTCAGGTTTTCACTCGCCGAGGGCTCGAGAAGAACCCTACCCTGGATGTCAAGCTCTCCCTGGAAGACCGACCGGGGTCTGGGTATGGGGTACACCGCCCGGGACTCTCCAACCAGGAGGCGAACCAAGTGGCCGCGCTGCTGGGACGGGTCAGGTTGTTTTCGGCTACGGAGGGCCTAGTCGTCAAGGTAAAGCACCGACCTTATGTTTCTTTAGTTCGCCCTCGCAGAATGCTGCTGCTGTGGGACTTGTTGTTGAAGTATTGCAGTCTGCGCACCGTTGTTGTAGGGATGCAATGGTTGACACGGTCTCGAGATCCTGACGGGGGAGCCTGCGTTCGTTTGATGCCTTGACTGATGATGTTTTTCTTTGCCGAATTTCTGCCACTGATTTTTTCGCCGACGGCGGTAACTGTGACGTTTCGTAGTATGGTGTGATTCACTGCGTGCGAGCATGCATGCCTCGCCAAGCCCCATCTGGCCTGAACGCCGCCCTCACCCTCGTTTGGCAACCTCCAGTCCCTGTTTGAGACGTTCGACAAGAGGCACAGCGGTAGGGTCACGAGCCCTATCTTCCTCCGGCAGCTGGACTCAATGTTCAAGGGAAGGCTGTCCAAAGAGGAAGCCAGGCGAGGAAAATGAGTCGGATGTTAGTAGCATCAGACGGAAGGATTGGGGGCGAGTCGCGATTTTGTGTTGGGGGGTACATGGGGGCATCCACCGAAGTTCGAGAATGTACTATGCCGTTCAAAACAGAAGCTGTGTTATCTTCAATACTCGTCAGCCGGTTTGTGCGCCCAACAGTCCGAAAATGAGTAAATCTCTTCCTCGCCATGGTTTGAGTTACGTGTGCCCCCCCTTCCCTCACCCGGCACACATATGCCAAGACGTGGCCACAACGTTTAACGCGGTCTTGCAACCCCGTGCGGGCTCCCTGTGTCTCATGCCATCGACCTACAATGACATGCTTCCGGTGGCGTTGTGCCGGATTCAACCAAAACCTCTCACGAAACAAGGTTGCTGCTACGGGCATACCAGACTCGAGACGGCAGCGTGAGCTACAGAGCGATGCACGCGGACTGCGACGACGCTTCGGGTTCTGCATCTGGTGGTATCGGTCCTGTTGCTGCCGATGCTCGTGCCACCGATGTTGCACCGGTCCAACAACAGCAGCAGCAGCAGCAACAGCAGCAGCAGTACCGACAGGGACATTGCACGCAGCTGCAGAAACAACGTCGCGCTCCTACAGAGGGGACTGGAACGGCTGACGGAACGACCGCGTGCCTTTCTCCTGACGGGTGCGTCCATAGAACCTTGGACACACTACGTAAAACTATCTGCAATATTATTCGCGATGGCAGCTCCCACTACAGACGACATCATATGCGGCCCTCTCTCCTGTGGTTGGTGGCACCTAGCATGTGATGAGTTCATGAGCGTGAGTAGTCACATACGTTTTTCTATCACACCACTACTCCGCTTTCTGAGTTAACATTGCCAGTGTTTCCTCAACTTTTCCTCTCGCAACTCTCTCCAACCATTGAAAGCAGCCAAGAGTTGGTTGAGGCCGACGCAGAGGACTTCGACAACGGCTCTTCCATCAACAGCTCCGTCACAGGTTTCCCAACTCGCGGCGCCGTGGGTTTCATGGTGAGGAAGGTTTGTTTTCTCGGGGATAACGCAGCAGCAGAGTTGGAGTGCGGGGATGGGGGTCGCACAGCCTACGTCGAACAGCCCGCTTTCGTTTGGGCCTTGGTTTTGCCCGTCCAAAACGCTCGGACATCCCACCGTGTCGTACCTCCCAACACGACACATCACACGAATGTATTTGCGACTGTTTAACTATCGTTGATCAGACGGAAGCACCGTCCCAGACGGAAGAACCACCCCGGTCCCCCAAAAGGTGGTGCGGACAATCGCCCCTCCTCTGTTCACGATCACTAAACACGCCTGATCCTCTCGTCGTCGCCGTCTGCCTGTACCGGACATCATCTTCCAGGTGGGCGAGGAGCAGGGTGTCGGCTCTCCCGTGTCGGGGCGCGGGATAGCGGCTGGCTGCGGCGGTGGGTGGCGGCGGGCAAGGGGGCGAGACGACGGAACGGGGACGGCTCCGCCACCAAAAGGTTCCTTGCCGATCGAACGGCAGATGGCGTCTAAGGTTCGTAATATAATACCAAAGCGACCTATAGGCGTGAGTCTTTTCATATCATGGAATCTTGCAGGGCGTTTGGTGGAGTGTGCCACACGCTCGCACGTCCGTTGTCTACTGTTCCTAGGGTCGATGTGCCGAAGGCGTTTGGTACGCACAGCGTGTGCATTTGGAACGCTGTCAGTCTGTTCGAAGCACGGGGTATTCGAGGAGCTCTGCGTCATTCGGCGCTGCTGGACATGACGGGGCGTCATCCCGACTCAATGTGGTGCTCAACGACGATCTGTACAGCGTCTCGCCATCTCCCCTAGTCCCTACCTTGCCCCGGTTTACTCACCGAACAGTGTGCTTGTTTTCTGCAAGGTG